TTAAGACACCAAGTCTTGGGGCTGGCAGGTGTGTGATGGTTAAGGAGCTGGACTCCTACAACCCAACTGTGGTTCGAGCCCTGGACCTGGCAGCTTGCTATCTCACTTTCCCTTTCTCTCTCTCTGGTCAAATTAAAAAATGATAACAAATAAAATAAAATAACTAAATAATTCTTCAAAAAAGAAGAGGAGGACACCGAGTCTTATCAAAATAGTAAGCTTAGGGAGCAGCACTGTAGCTTAGTGGTTAAAGGAGCCAGGTCACACATAGTTGACCTTGGGTTCAAGCCCCAGACCCAGCAACTTGAAAAAACACACCAAGGATATGGGCATGGGTGCTGAGAGGATGAAGAAATGGAGAAGGCATTGCAGCCTGACCATGCCCCATTGAGATGTGCTCTCCCTCTCTCTGTCTCCGTCTTCGCCTTTGTCTCTGTCTCTCTCTCTCTATGTCTACCTCTGGTGAGCTTAGATGCTATATATAAGTTAGGCACATTGCTTGCCCTTTCCTTTTGAAAAATTTTAATTTATGTGCAACTTTAAATAAAAGGGCAATCAATGAGAAATTACTGTTAATTTTTTTTAAATGTACCAGACTACACACAACACAATATCATTTCTACCTTCCATTAGGCAGTGAGGCAGTAGATACATTAAAAGATGATTTTCTCCATCCTTTCTGATCACCAGCCCTTACCTGCCCTGCCGCTTGCCAGGTAAAATTCATGGAATGGATATTGACAGGAATAGCCGGCATTCTCTGTTGAGCTTTTCTGAAATCATGGGTAAAGGGGGCCATTTTCCCCTCTGAGACAATCAGGATATCTTCTTCAAAGCCTGTTTTAAAAATAACAGCATGATCAAACAAGATGAACTTGAAAGAATCTAAATCAGAAATCCAAAGAAGGAGTATGGGTCGTGTCTTTTCACCAAGCACCTGCCTTTGGTACCACCAAGGCCACTGAGATGAACGTCCCTCTGTCTGTGCTAAGGATGCCGTCAGACGCGCTTTCAGGCAAAAGGAACGGACATGGGGGTAACTGACGCCAACCAACCAAAGGCACGATCAGAGCCCTAGACCCACTTTGGTTCTCGTGAGAAAAGTTTATAAGCTTTCAGATGGAGAGTGTCTAATTAAAAGGGGGAGCAATCTTCCTTGGGAATGAAGTTGGAAAACATACTAAATGCATGCATCCCTCCCTCTGCCGTGGAAGCGTAGTGAGAACGAATGCCCAGACCGGGGAAGGTGCTGGAGGCGGGGGCCTTACCTATGAGCACTCTCGCCTGGTGAGCATCGATCCACAGGTACAGGCTCTCCTCTCGCGGCTGGCTGGCCTCCGCCTGCAGCAAAAACAGGCACGGGAGGATGCTCCAGAATCTCAGGGCGGCGGCAGGGACGGCGCTTCTCGGGGCCATGCTGCTCGGGATCTGCTCACTGGCGGTGAACTCCTCGCGCCGCACCTACCAACCTGCGGCCGCGAAGTTCTCTGCTCCGCGGAGCTGTTCGCCCGTAGACCGCTGGGCGTGGAACCTCCTAGCTCGGGTGCGAGTGAGCCTGGGAGAGCCGGAGGAGGAGGGAAGTAGGAGGAGGGAGGGGATGAGCCGGCGCGAGCGGCGCCAGAGGAGGGGGCGTCGGCGGGAGAGTGGAAGGCAGAGACGCGAGACTGGCAAAGCTGGAGATGCCAGCACGCCTGGCGAGGCCAACAGTCAGGGGGCAGATACAGCGAGAGACGAAGAGCGGGAAGGGCTTGCACCAGCAAT